CTAGGACAAATTATAACAACTTTTCTGCCTACTTAGGATCCTTGTTAATGTACACTGATTGGAAATCACAAAACTAATGATGTTCTAGGTTTTGTGGAGCAGGAAAGGGTCGATAACAAATTAATTATAACACAATTTTAAGAAAATAGGAAACTACAAATATGAATAAAAAAATATAGAACACACAACCAAGTCCAACGGTTCGTTTTTATCGTATTCTTCAGAGTATTCAAGAACTTGGTCAACTTTGGAGCGCTGTAAAACCCAGATAGATGATGGTATATAAACAAGTTTGTACTAAATATTATTTAATAAAAAATCGTTTATATTATTACTTTTTATTGTATTGTTAAGTGTTCAGAAAAAAAATATAAGGCCAGAAGAAAATTTGTTTGAAAATTTTTATTTTTGTTTATACTATTTTTATTTTCCATCTTACGATTAAAAGTAAGAAGAATTAAGTTGTAGTCCCTTTTTTGCTACAAATAGTATCCTATAAAATTTTATGTGGGGTTGCTAGTTTACGAAATATAGCGCGAAAACTTTTGCATCTCTTGTTACAAGATAACGGCCAGTAGAAAAGTGTGGGTACCCCACAAACTTGAACTTAAACTTGTCTTAACTCCACCCATTCAAAAAAAAAAAAAACAAAAATTGTGTCCTCCGAAATATGCAACTCTAAATATCGTAAATATCTAACTCGTCTTTCGACTAATTTAGAATATTCAGTTATCCTAGAGATATCTGATATACTTCGGTACTTTCGTTAATCAATAGAAAAACTAACGACTAACACAAAAAAAATAAACGTACGCGTAAAACCCTTATTAGTATGAGACCAACAACCTAAAGACCTCGATTTTCACATAAAACCTCTCATCTGAATGTTGCGTTCTGACAGTTTTCTCTACAATAATTTATGGATGCAACTTTCATTGTGTTGTTTTACCTTGACATTGTGATGCTGCTTGATTCAAGCAGCAGGATGCCAGGAAATTACGAAAATATCAACAAAACAAAAACACGTATTTTAACAAAACTCGTTTATTTTATTAAAATTTACTATTTTTATTGGGAATAAGCCAAAGGTTCACTTTAAAATAAGTTTATTTTGACGGTTGACGTTTGACGAAAAATCAAAATAAACTTACTTTTATTCTTACATGGCAGTTGCGTATCTAAAATGAACTTTTACAATCGGTCAAACAATAACAATCTTTAGACCTATAGACGTATATTTAAAGTAGTCATTTAATAGTGTCCATTTAATAATCCAGGAAAAATATAAATTCGCTAGTTGTTAATTCAAAAGAAGTCATATCAAGAAACAAACAACCAGTTATTGACTATAATATAGTGCAGAAAACAGAGAGGAGCTAGATAGGAGGCGCAAGGGTAAGAAAAAGCTATGAAATAGGCCGTGATCACTACCTACTGGAAACTATATTTAACTAGCAAAGAAATAGGAATAAAAACCATTCAAAATACATAAAATAAGGAAGAAATAACGAAAATCGGACAAAAGGATTTGTTAAAGAAGGTAATACACAAATAAGGAGAAATAACAGAAATAGTAAAAGAAGAATGCAATAAATGATAAATACAGTAAAATTAGTACATTAGAAAAGAGAAATAAATACCACAGTGAAATAAGGAGGTACAAGTCGAAATAAAAGCGAAGATTAAATTGTGAAAGAACATACCAGGAAAAACGCAACAAAAATAGGGAAGATGCAAAATAAGAGAATTCAAGTAACACAAAAAGTCAGAAATATGAACAGGAAAAGCTGGGATCAGTTACAAAAAAAGAAACAAAAAATGTAATATTGTTTTATAAAATACTAAAAAACCTACGAATGAACAAAGAAATAAAGCTAAAACAAATGTTTGCGTAAAACGAAACAATATCAATCGATAGCAAGGAGATAACGAAAATATGGAACATGTCGAACAACTGTTAAACGAAGACCAAGTAAAAGCGACGACAAATGAAAAACCATAACTGGCTAATCAGGGAAACACGCCGAAGAAAGAGAAGCTGTACATGACAAAGAACTGAAGAAAGCAATAGGCTCTTGAGAGTAATGAACTTGTGTTAGAAATGTTGAAGTACATAGGAGAAAAAACAAAGAAAAGTTTATTATACATACTAAATATAATATAAAAGAAACAAATAGTACCTTCATTCAGTTTACAAGAAGGAAAACACATAACACCGTCAGAACTATAGTGGCATATCCCTATTATATGCAATCGCAAAATTATAGGAAACAATATTAGAAAGAAAAATCTAGATAGAAATAAAAGATGCACTAAAGGACGAACAAAGATGATTTAGAAAAAAACATAACACACACGACCATGTGTTCATTATGCAACAGTTAATAGAGAAAGCCTCAAAGAAAAAAAAAATAAAGAAATCTACATGTTGTATGAACATCGAAAACGCATTTAATTCAATCGAAAGAAAATCTATACGGGAGAGCCTGAAAATATAAGCGAAGGTCTAATAAAAAAAAACTAAGAGTATATTTATATAAAAACAATTAATAAAATAATACATATGCAAAAAATATGCAATCGCAACCATTTGTAACAATGCAAGGAATTAGACGAGGAGGTAGCTTAAGCTCAGTACTTTGTATAAATGTAATAGATGAGATAGTGAAAGCATGCAAGAAAACCTATTAAGTGTATAGAACGGAATAGAATGTAAATGATTAATGCAGATATATGCATATTTGAAGATCACAGTATTATTCACCTAAATAACAGGAAAACTGAGGCACAATTTAAAAAAATAGAACTTAGAGACATAAAAATTCAACCTAAATACAAAGAATAATTGAAAATAAAAATAAAAAACATATATACAAACGAAGAAAACAAAGAAAACGAAGAAAACGAAGAAAAGCAAAGATATACCGGAAGAATGATAGGGGAAAGAAGAACAGACAGATTTTAAAAATAAGGCAATACGAAACAGACTTAAGATTAAATGGTTGTTTGACCCAATAAGGGAGAAAAAATTTGCATAGTTTCATCACATAATACGAAAAATAGTAAGAGTCAAGTGAACAGAGTGTGAAAAGCTAAACCAACAAGGAAACAGAGAAGACGCAGACCAAAACAAGAACTGAACAGCGATATATTAGAGATATTACAAACTAATTAACAGAATCTGTGCAAGATGCAACACAATCGTGAAAATGTAGAAAATTAGAAAATTAGAAAAGATAGACGCGCCTCCCTCTACATCTAACAGTAGAAAATGAAGGATTAAGGTAGCGTACCATTTAGATCTAAAAAGATATATAGGTGATAATAGCCTGTTTTTAAAAACAAAATAAATGGTCTTCGTATCGCCTATGAGAATAAATTAAAATTAAAACAATTGTACTGTAACCAATTCCATTATGATAGTTTTGTATAGTGAAATAAAAAATCTACGCAAACTGGGCATAATATTGCACCAATGTCTATAATAATCACTTAAAATACCGTAGTGGCCTTGTAAAATACCGTAACAGAATCATTGTTGATAGAAAAATGTAGTATGGGCAATAAAATATGAGAAGATTAAATTTAAGGTAATGAGAATTAAGAATATGTACTGGAAATATTAAATTTAATTCTTTTTTAGATATGACTTTTTTTGGAATATTATCCATTGAATAAATATATGGATAAGAGTATATAAAATATTTCCTTGTAAGACTATTAGATTATTCGAGAACATGGGAAACATATTTTTCCAAAATGGCGCAATATTGAAGGGGTCTAGAATATTTCAGACAAATCGTAACAACCTCCTTTTGCAGCAACATTGTTTACTATCATTACGTAATTCACGTATTTGTGTTGATTAAGAAATGCATGTTATTATATTTTATACGAAAAATAATATTACTGCATGAATCACTCAGTCACTGCTAAATAATATTGGATTAAATTAAATTTTTCACAACCACATGACAGACACAATCTCTCGAAAAAGGGAAAAAATAAGCTAATTAAATAGTATTTTTAACATTAAAATTTGTATTATATTCTGCATTATTAAATTGTTTATGTGTTATGCATTTTAATAATAAATCAAAGTAACAGTAGTCGCTGGAGCTTGGAAATTAATGAAGGTATTTTTGAACATATTCTTGGAAGATAGAGACTTTTGGAAAAGTTTTTAAGACTATTAATGATTTTCGGATATCTGTGACAATAAATAGTTGTCAGTGATTCAATTCTTTAACAAAATGTTCAAAGCAGCTACTAATCTGCAATTAACAATGTTAATACATGACTCTTTTGTTTACACTTTTCGTTGTATCTTGTTGTTCACATTGTTCATCTTCACATATATTTATTTTTACTAGTTTAAGATTAACACATTTTTCCTGACATTTACTTTACACCGCCAAACACACAATTATGTCAGATGTGTTGAATGTGTTGAATCTAATGAATTATGTTTTATGAGATTTTACTTACACCTTTTTTGTAGGTATTAACCAATTATGTATTTATTATTAATTTCCATAGACAAATTTATTTCTATGGCCATATACAGTTGAGATTTCTACGATTCACTTTTTTCGACTTCTATATAAAACAGTTATTATTTCTTGGAAAGAGAATACATCAACAAAGCATGATTTGTTCATATACATCCATATTATCATTTGTTTGTTTTTAAACAGCCAGTCTTGTGCAACTGAAATTGAATAATTCAATTTTAAAAACGTATTATGGAGTATAAAGCATAACTGACGAAAAATACTATATAAAATTAGTAATTTTAGCAGTATTATTTTTTACAATTACACTTCCAACAAAACATTATTGTTCTATTTAGCCGTTATAAAAACCCTAACAACTACTCGTACCAAGTATATTATGTTGACATAACTGCCGTTATCTCGTATGTAGATAAGAACGCAATGTTAAAATCAATACTATGCCACTGATTTTGTAAAGTTTCGAATAACTTGTGCCAAACTTACCTTTTGGGTGTAGTTCCGTTAGCCACCTGCTTCAGATAGGGATGCATCCTATTGGCATTGGAATCCAAAACTGAAGAATGACTAGGACTAATAGCACCTACAACCACACTAGCTCCACCTGCGGATAATTTGTCGCTAAACGCGTCCATTTGATGCAACATTCTCATTCGACACCGATCTCGCAACTAACTTATCAAAAAAATTTTATCACCTGTGCGGCTTCTCTCGCAGATAAGATAAAGTTCACCTGTTATCATACAGATATGGCGTTCCGAGGCTTTTCTTAAACGACACAGTCACCTTTCGAGCACTTTTTTCACTATCATCGCTGTTGGTAGTACCGCTCTCTAAAAACGGTGTATGAAACTTTGCTTTAGTTGCTTAGACAGTACAGACACAAAGCGTTTGCGGCAACAAGATGACACAAAAACTAACAATAATTAGTAAATGCCTGAAATCGAAAAAATAAAATTATGTAATTTTAGATTTTAAAAATACTATTGTGCTGAGTGTGATGCCACTGGATTAAAATATTTTATGTAGGATTATAATAAGGTACGGTAATAAGATTAAGCAATTAACTAAGCTATGGTATCTATAAAAAAGAAATCAAGCAATTACATCAGCAGATATTCTAGTAATTACGGAAGCCACCACAGTAACGATTAAAACGGGGAATGACATGCTGAAAATGCTTTCAGCACATGTTAGACCGAATAATTCGATGTTTGATGAGAACCGGAATGCCATTTTGGACACAGAGGAGCCCACCGTAATTATTAAGGACCTGAATAGAAGATCATCGAACTGATTCAATAATACCACAAATCGTAACGCGAGACTATTGTGTGACTATCTCGAAGAAAAACAAAACGTAGTAGTAGGACTTATGGAACCTAAATATTTCCACTGTGGAGATAGCCTTTTTACATATATAGATACAGAAATTCTACAAAATATGTTTACCGTGGGTAAACAACACAAAATACAATCAGTTAACAGATTTAGCTCACCACCTAATTATATTGACCACGAAAGAAGTAGAAACAAATCACCTGCAACGCTACAAGCAAAATTGGACAAGTTGGCCGCCACACTACAAACGATTAATGAGTGAAACCTTTAAACAATATCACCAATAAATACAAATGAAGAACTAGAGGAATTTGACATAAAACTAGAGAAAACGATACAAGACTATCGATGCCAGCACCAAGGAAGGAAAACACCAACAACAAAAGAAAGCTTTAAAGAAATTAGCAATGACCTAAAAAAATGATAAAACAGAAAAACGGGAAAAAGAAAAAGAACCAATAAAACAAGAAATCAACAGAATAAATAAAATGCTAATGCATTGAACAGAAAAGTTAAAAAAAATGGAAGAACACAGAAACGAACACTAGGACAACTACATCCAAAAATTAAACCCAAATATATCCTTGTTCTAGAAGCTATTAACAATTCCAAAAAAGGTACAAAAGAAATTTCACTCTTACATCGAGCAAACGGAATAATGTACGAAGAAGAGAACAAAGCTAATTTATGAAAAACACGCTAGAAAGAGGATATAGGAAAAACTACCATCCCGATGAAGATCTAGACTTCACAGAAGAGGTGAAAAGAAAATATATTATACAAAAAAGGAGGGACAAAACAGGTATTACACACACATTCCCTGAAAAGATTATACAAGCATGCTAACGCCAAAAAAGTTTCAGAACCGGACCAGATTACGAACAGAGCTTTCAAGAATATTTATCAACAACATCTTAAGATTAGGATTCTTATCTAATATATGGTGTAAAGCTCGCGTAATATTGATCAAAAAACCAGAGAAAAATAAAATAAACTTATTAACAGCATTAAGCAAAATTACAGAGCGGGTCATATTAGCTACAATAAAAGAAGAATCAGAAGCAAATCGAACAATACCCGACACACAGTTCTGGTGCAGATACGAATACTTATGTGAACTTCAGGTACTTTGTCTAGCAGAATACGTCTAAAAAGAGTTAAACGAAAAGATATATACTGCAGCAGATTTTATAGAAGTCAGTAAAGCTTTTGACAGTCTGACACGAAGACCTGCTGTATAAAATGAACCGATATGGTCATAGTAAAGCGATGACTATAAAAGCAGGTGTGCCACAGTGAGCGGTGTTGTCACCATATCTATATACTTTATTCTTCTTCTTCCTATGCCGTCCCCATTAAAGGAGGTTGGCGACCACATTTTTAAAAGCTTCTCTGTCTTTTGCAACGTGGAATAATTCGTCTACAGTCATGTTTGTCCAGTCTCGAATTCTTGAAGAATATATATACTATATATTTAGCAGATTTAGCAACAAAAGGCACTAAACGAACTGCAATAATGATGTGTCCAGTGAAAGGATAACTGTCAACCTAGCAAAACACAGGCCGCCCTGCACCAAAAAAGAAGGGGCAGACCAAATTAAGTACTATTTTTATTCGACACATAGATTAAGTGATCAATCCAAGCCAAATATTTAGGCGTAATATTGAATAAAAAGCTGAACTGCACAAAACACGTAACACCAACTAACAATCAACAAAGATAAAATATTTAAAATTCAACTATTCATTACTAAAAAATTTAGCTGAGATAAGTACTCTGAAACAAATGTCTATTAGCACTTTTTATGTAACACGAACCGTTCTCTCAGAAACGACTGGTGATTTTGGACGTTAATGTCAAAAATTCAATATCTTTTGATTAGAATGCTTTCTCGACGAAAATCAAAATGCTTTTTAAACGTAAGTGGTGCAGCTTCCATATGTATTTTGCCATAAATGAAGTGAGTTTTTATAATGGTACTACATAAAAAAGGTTACGCGATTTTTGTTATTTTTTATAATTATCACGAGTTCAATAAAATGTATTATTTTATTTTATTGGCCAGTCACTATTTAATTTTCAAAGTTAAAGCCTAATATTCAAAACCTAAAGTATGAAATTTCGGTTTTGAGTTATGGCACCAAATGTGAGGCATTTGAAATATGCCTAAAAAACGATGAATTCAAACTTTAACATTACAAACGATCTAAATTACACGATTAAGTTTTTTAAAACTACACAACTTCAGCTACAAACTCTACCCAATACTATTTTCGTGGGTAAATTTCCCATGATGTGCGATCGTTTGTGTATGTGCATATTTCCAATGTGTCATATTTGTTGCCAAATCTCGAAACCAAAATTTCATGTTATAGATTTTAAAGAATTAGCTCTATCAATGTATATTCCATTTAGACCAGTCAATGAAAGTGATAAATTTTATTGAATTTAAAAAATGGCACAAATCGCGCTAAACATCTTTAGAAAAACTAAATTCGTTTCCGGACAAGCACAAAAATTCCAAAGGAAAGGTACATTTTTCTCTTTTAAAATGCATTTTAATTTTTGTCGATAGAACGCTTTGATCAAAAGATATCGAATTTATACCGTTAAGGTGATACAAATTTTTGTTTAAAATTGATTTCGGGCGCGAAACTGACATTCAAAATATCTGGTTGCTTCAAGCGTATTTTCTGGGAAAACGGTTTATTCTACACAAAAAGTGCTATTATCTTAGTATATTTTATATACGAGTAGACTACCAACAGATTACGTCAAAAACCAGACAATACATATGCGGCCTAGTCAACAGCTAGTTGGATACAGAGAAAACTCAAAAGAACAGTGAACAAATAAGATACGTTACTAAATAGTGAACATACGCAGTAACAGAGCGTCAAAAAAAAAGAACAAAGCTACTTTTATTTTACTAATAGTTGTCCTACATATAAAAAACAAAAAAAGCTACACACGGGATGTGCACCCGTTACTTTTTATCTAATATTATTTTCTCTTAGCCCTGTGATAATATCCTTCTGTTGCAGCCGTCATGCAGTGACAATGCCACAAAAAATGTACGACTCATAGACGAATGAATCAACTGTACAGACAGACAAATCGCCCATTAGGTACCTAATACCATTCAGGTAGGTCAAATGGACCAAGCTCTTGAAACCTAAGCACCGAGGTCACGTACCGACAAACGTGAGCCCGATCAACAAACACTTCTGGCGCTCAGTAGACGAGAAAACACTAGCCCAAAGTCAGGTAAAAATTAAATTCAGTTAATCATGGAAAAAGCTCTTCGAGCTACCCCTAAAGTCAGCTGGTTTAACCACACAAACTGAAACATAGCGTTTTCTATTACCCAGGACCACCAAGACATTCAAAGTAGCGTTCAGTACATAAGCCCCCCATGTCTTATGTGCGTCGATGTGGAGGGGTAATTGGTTAAAACGTTCGTTGATAGAGCGAGGTATGAAAATATAGGGCACAATGTGCATAATAAATTGTAAGTATACAAATGGACAAGGAAACCAAAAAATAACAAAGTTAGCTCATAAATTGTTGGAGTCTACAAAGTTTATAAAATAGTAAAAAAGAAGAGAGCTAAATCACCACTACATTAAAAGCACCATTTTTATTTTCTGGTACATTATTAACGATCTGTTTTAGAAGTTAGAAGAAGTTAGAAGAAAAGTAAACTGCTGTTAAATTGTTTATAAAGACATACATCATGACCTTATTTAGGGTTTAAAACACAAAAAAATACTTAAAAAAAACAATAAAAATACATGAACTCTGCTTGTTCGGTTGATAAACTCTCTACAAACATATTATACGAAATAAATCACTGAATATGGCCCCATGCTATCAAAATAACGTTCATGAATTTGGCAAACATTTTAATACATAGGTATCAATTTGAAGCACTTGATCAGTATTCTGTTTTAATATTATAATTACATAAACATCAAGTAATTCATATTGATTAAAAGGAAGGAATGATTATCCACACTCCAAAACAAATAATTTTTTCCTTCTATTTTAAGCAAATTATATGCAACCTTTTACTATTAGTTGACTAATTCCTTTAGTGGCAACACAGTCAGCACACTGCAAAGCCTAGCAACATACAAATAATTAGTAAAGAGGTTTTTAAGTGATAAACGTTTTAGTTAGCTCTATTACGAAATAACTATTAGTTTGTTATCTACTCATATTACTCTTATATTTAGTGTTTTCTACGAATACTTTTATTTTTACGAGACTGAGAAAGTTTCCGGTAATGGCGGTCCCAGTAAAGTGGAC